TTTTTATAAAGCTTATATCATCTCCCTTCGTCTGTCTGTGTGTGTGTCTGTCTGGTACAAATTTTAAACACGTTATATCTTCCACTTCACATTCTTGGATCAATTGAAAACTTTGCGCAAGTACACATTGTTCCTAACAAAATCAACACAATCAAAGATTAACCAAATAGTTAATAAGTTGTGATTAATTTTTATATTTAAAAAAAGGGGAAACAATATTACAGTATTGAGATATATGATTGTAATTGTGTAGTTGTTATCCTTAGACAAGCTCTTTTTTTTGTAATAACTTATTTTTTTGCTCGTTAATAAATAGTTTCAGCCTAGGAAGAAAACAGGCCGTGACCCCCAGTATGCTAAACTGTAACACCAAAGATTTTTATTATAAATTTATTTTTGTAAATATTTTCAACTTCATGTTCCTTGTCATAATATAAAAAAAGAAAAAGAATCAAAACCTTTAAAAATTTTCAGTAATTTTCCTATTTTTCTAGCCTTACACACGGTGTTGCTCATGTCTATTCAGAATAACAAAAAAAAAAAAAAACGCCATTACAAGCACATTTTAGTTTTAAAGTTCGCCCAAGTGATTGTGTGTGTGTGGGGAGGGGTGTCAGGGAGGGATAATAAATAGAGGGGGTGGAAAAAATGAGAAGGTTCTAACATAATATGTGTCCCACACAATGATGTAATAATAATTAATGCCGAATTCCGTCATCATAGATCTAGATCTAACAGTACCAGACAAACAGGCACCTTACAGTTTACTTTATATATTAGATTTCCAGAACTAATGTGGCACTGATGCAGACGCTTGACCTTTGTGAGCTTTGTGCCCAAGATGATATGGCTTTGTATGTTTGCATTGATTAATATTGACCTTTGTACAAGTGGTAAGTAGGCCCCCTTAATTTTTTATTCAACTGAATTCATTGACCTATCTACCTACTAACATATCTAACATTTCTTCTTCTTTCTAATTGTCCTAAGAGTCGAGTCTATGACTCTTGGGGTCCGAGGCTTAAGAAAGCTTGCCTCCAATAGTCTGTCTGAACAAAACTTCTGTCTGGGAAACATCCACGCAGATGTTAATTATTACATTCCTATAACGGATGGCTCATATCACAAGGCGCTGAGGTTGTCAGTTGTAGTCAAACTGAATTTCCATTTGATTGGATCAATAAAAATTATCCTATCTCTTTTCTTATCTTAATTAGAAGCGAGGCCGATGTCCGAGCACACCGGGGAAACTCCCCCAAATTCCTTCTCAGTACCACATTGTCAGGGGGAGGTATGGCGAGAATGAATGTTACTTTGATATTTTGGTATGATTGTTATATCCCCTTGTTGTGAATGTGAATAGTGTTGCACGTGTTATGAACTGAATGATTGAGTCTTCGTTGAATGTGCCAGAGTGTGTTAAGTTAGTGAGGTCTTGTTCCCGGTCCAGGAAGGTTGGATGGTTGCTTCCTGGACTAGTGTTTATGTATTTATATATTTCATAAAGTTGATGGACTAGTGATTGTGAATTAATATTTATTTGAGAGTTGATTTCATTATGTGTTTATTGAATATTAATGTATTATTCGTATTTCAATGGATATCTATAGTTGGAGTTGAGTGTATCTAGTGGTAACTGTTCTTATTTGAGTAACTAAGCAAGTATTAAGTAATTGTAATTGATATTGAAGAACCCCCTAGCAAGAGCAAAGCTTTATAATTTGAATCCCTGACACACATCAGCTGTAGGTCATAAAAACGGCCTTTTGAGTAACGGTGTGTGGATAGTGACATGTTTGTTGAGGCTTTCTTCCATTCCCGCCAGTGCAATGGACTCGGTCCTTAGGCATCCCAACGAGAGTTCTGTTCTGCTTCCCTATTGGCTTATCGTCTCCGATAACGTCCATTTAAAGCTTAGCGCCACGCTGAGACTGAGAAGCATTGCCTAAGATATGATAAGATAAGATTATTATATTGGTCCAAACAAATGGAATTTAAGCTTGACTACATTAATACAACAACAATAAGAATAGGCCTATATATGCAAGCACGAATAACATTACCTAACTGCATATGTGTTTATCTATATATTTACTTATCCACCTACTTTCTAATTTGTTTACCTTTCTACACACTTAAATATTTATTTACCTACCATCCTATTTCCTTACATATTAACTTTCTTACCTACCAATCTGCTTACTTATCTACCTACTTATACGGCCATTTAAATCTAGAGTGACCGTATTTTCCCTTTACAACTACTTGTGTGACTAAAGAGACCAATCCTTGATACACAGCTGCGGTCACTGGTTGGGCATATATAATCACCAGGCGCCGTTGCATTTTCACCCTTCTTTCTACTACTGTTGTGTATGGCATCTGCAATCCTGGACCCTTTCTTTTATGCTCGCTGTACATGTCGATCTGTCCAGTGTCACTTTTCCCCGGCTGCTAATGTCGATTTTGAATAGCTTCATATCGCCTTTACATACATCCGTACACCGTAAAAGTGGGCGACCAGCGGCTCAACTGTTTTCTGTTACGAGTTATCCCTAAGAAATCCTATCACCAACTGACTTTATATCTCTAGGTAGCCTATAACCCAACCAAGTCATGACGTCACTAGTCACGTTCTAAGTCCGTCAATTATGGTGTGAAACTGATTAAACTATTGATATCAACTGAATGTCTTACAAGTTACAAGATATAATATATATAATTAAATATATATATAAGTGTATGGTTGAAACTCTGCACACATATATGTTATCCCTAGCAAAACATGAAAAAAAATAAAAATAAACAAATTAAATCTTTAGTAGTAATTAATTTTTTTTTATTATAGCAAACGGGAAATAAACCCAAATGTATTTAAATGTGCCGCTCTTTCTTTATATAAGCTTTGTGTCTTTTATAAGGGATTACACTGGATCTATCCAGTGCCACCTCTTCCCAGCTGCTAGTATCGATTTTGAAGAGCTTCATGTCGCGTTTGCATACATCCGTATAACGTAAAAGTGGGCGACCAGCGGCTCTCCTGTCTTCTGTTTGATCTCCATACAGAATGTGTTGTGGAAGTCGACCTACTGGCATTCTACGAGCGTGGCCAAGCCAGCCAAGGCGTCTGCTGCTGATAACAGAGCGGATGTTCTGGCACCCTGCTCTTCGTAGCAATTCCTCATTGGTTATCTTATATTGCCACCTTATTTTAAAGATCCGCCTTAGGCATCGGAGGTGGAAGACATTCATCTCTTCTCATTATAATTGACATAACCTACTTATACGTACTCTGTATTCTGATATATTCTCACAAAAATCTTTAAACTGTTTACAAAAATATAAACCCCCACGGTAGCCAAAATAAAAAGGAAAATAAGACCAGTGGGATTGTTCTCTTGATTACTAAGATTTAAATGTTATTGGTCTAAATGTCGCTATAAGTTTTTCCAGTGTAATTAAAACTTGAACCCAGAAGCCTGAGAAATCCCATAACTCTTTCTCTCCTAACTGACGATACCAGCGTTGATTCCACCAGAATGTGGTAAATAATTACGGAGAGAAAGAGTTAAAAAAAATATAGGAAACTGCTAAGGAAACGTTTAAATTGTTTTCATACTCATAACCGCAAAGTTTTGCAAAGCTCTGTTTGGTACAAAATGAAATAGAATTGCACCGTATTTCAGCGTTGTACTCAAGAGGGGCTTTCCGTGATGTGTTTAGGTGATCCGTTAACGCAGCTCTGCTTTCAAGATGCTCGATACCAAATCCCGGTTCCAGAAACATTAGAAAAGTCTTCTCTCTTTCTCTCTCCTGATTGACCTTACTTTGACCCCATTAAATGAACTTAATTTTCGGGTTCATAAACTTTAATTAGTGTTATATAAAAAGGGCATGCTTTTATATCTACCAACTATAACACTGATTTAGAAAAAAAAGGTTTTTGAAGTTTAACCTTAACAGGCGAGTGAACTACAAATGGGAAAAAAAATGAATAATTTCTTCTGAGCGCGGAAAATAATTACGAGAGATATAGTTATTGTTGAAGATGTGTTGTCCTGTTTGATGTCAAGTGAAAAATGACGATAAATGATTTTTTAAAATTAATTTTATAGCTCAAAACAAGACCATGGCTTAAATATTCCTGGTCCATGTGTGAAATTGACGGGGGCCTTCTCCATCAAAAAAACTCTCTTTGTAATGGGTTTTTTTTTTCTTTCAGTTTCAGTGGCAGCCAACGAAGCGATCAAAGCCAAATACTTTGACTGTTTGGATCTTCACTTCTCTTCTCTGAGTGACGCAATATGTACGGATGTCGCTAAAATCATCCGCATGTGCGCCCAGATCTCTTTCTCGCATGTCAGGCCGTCTGACATCATCGTGAAGACAACAGACGACGACACCAAGTCCTTTCTGTCCAGGTTTTACCTGCAATGCAATGTCACCATCGTTGCGTTTCTTCCAGAGAGAGAGAGCCAAGCTGGCAGGTCTTCCACTCTGTCTTCGTGGAAGTGGCTCTTAGACCTTATTGCCATTTTCTCGTACTGGGGACTTTTTCTCTTGTAAGGGGATGTTTTTTTGCCGGTTTATGCGCGTCGTAATATGGCTAGTGAAGGCGCGTCGTAATATAGTTCAGAACATTATTTCCTGATAAATGAACTTCACCTTATGTTGACTGATTAGTTAATGTATAGGTCTGTTAACAAGAGATTGGAGAAAATTTAGATAACAAAATATGTATATGTGTATTAGTTTTAAATAAGCTATAAATAAAACATCAACAACATATTTGTGATCGGATCAAATGTATGTGTTAATAGGATTGTATTGTAACAGATTTATCAATATCAATATTTCACAAAAGAACTCTTTATGAATCACAAACAACTCTTTATGAATCACAAAAAACTCTTTTTGAATCACAATCAACTCTTTAATAATCACAATCAAAACTTTATGTATCGCAATCAACTCTTTAGCATATGTTCCACAATCAACTCTTTATGTAACAAAATCAACTATTTATGAATCACAATCAACTCTTTATGTATCAAAATCAACGCTTTATGAATCACAATCAACTCTTTAGCCTAGGTATCACAATCAACTATTTATGTATCACAAACAACTCTTTATGAATCACAAACAACTCTTTTTGAATTACAATCTACTATTTATGAATCATAATCAATTCTTTATGTATCACAAACAACTCTTTAGGAATCACAATCAACTCTTTATGTAACACAAACAACTCTTTATGAATCACAATCAACTCTTTATGTATCACAAACAACTCTTTATGAAAATCACAATCAACTCTTTATGTATTAAAATCTTTAAATATTTCCCAATCAAAACGTCGACCTAAATCTCTAGGTTATTATTGAAAGACGTTCCGTCAAAAAATAAAGAGATTAAATACGTTCTACACTTACTTATGTGCTAATATTGTTTTGTTAACTACAAACATAAACTAACGCGGGAAATAAGAAATGTGTCCTTAGCCTTGTTATCTTTTAAAGTATTTTTTTTAAAAATGTGTTACAATCAACACAATTGATTGCGTGATAAACGGGGGAATGGGGGTGGGGGGGGGGGGTGGGGAGGAATTCAAACATCAGATGTAAGAAAGAAAAAAGGTTCCAATAAAATAGAAAAAAAACACATGCTAATAAACCAGGGGTTCTCAATCTATGGGTCGCGACCCCTTTTGGGGTCCAATGACAATTTGCCGGGGTTGGCCGAAGACTATCAAAATTATGTGGGTTTTTTTTAATTTTTAGTATATCTCGTGTCTATTCTAGCTTGATGAGACATCTGAGCGTTGCCGACATTGAGAACAAGTTTATGTAGGTCTCTGTTCAGGTGTAGACTTGGTGACGATTTCAAAGACGAGTTTCTCTTTTGCAAAAATACTTGAAACGACTACAGCTCAAGATGTATATCAGAAAGTTGATTCATTTTTTTTATGATGGAGTGCATTTATTAACTTTTTCTATTTGGCATCCACCAAAACAACCGTTGCGACAGTTTAAAAAGCCTGTTAGTTATCAATTATAGCTAAATACAGAAAAGGACTTGATGCACAAGATGGCCTTGAAAATCCCTGAACTGGTGAAACAGAGACAATGCCAAACTGTCCCAACAATCGTAGTGCTGCAGTTAACTCTTACCCTGGTCACTATCCATGCTTTTGACATTTTCACATAAGTATTGAACATGGATATGGTGGAAATCAAATAGAAAAGTTAATGATTGCACGCCATAAACTTGTATTTATTTGGAATTTAATTCTTTGAAAAATCATACTTCAAGACTATACGGCAATCACATATTGTTTTGTAATTAAAATACAATTTTGGCAATACCTTTATATTTATACTATCATATAATTTTATATAACATAAGCAAAAGCAGTTACTTAGGCATATAAAAGAAAATAATTTGACTGCTTGGGGGGGGGGGGGTCGCCGCATAGTTGGGAACAGCAAAAAGGGTCGCCGAGCTAAAAAGGTTGAGAACCGCTGTTAAATAAACATATTTACAGGAATAAGACGAATTTGTTGGATTCTGAAGGCTGACGAAGAGTGCAGCATTTCAAGTGGCCACGCAGCCCCTGGAGTGACCTAGATAATTTGTCTCAGCGAACGCAGTCAATGTCGGGTCGATTTATTTAAACATCTTCTTAGTTCCCCTTTCAGACCTTGCGATCTTTGAGGCAGATGATGTAAAGGTCATCTGTTTCTGTGAACCATGGTTAACGAGGGTGCCATGTGGCCAGCATAACGACCACCGCCTTTGCTTTTCCCCAGCTAATGTCAGGTACCCGTCAGAGCCGAGATTCTAGCCCGGGACCTCCGGTTCGGAAGCCAAGTGCTTTACCGCTCATATATACTCTGTCCATGACATTAATTAGATGACTAGTTGCAGAAAATATGTAAAATAAAGTCTATGTATGAAAAAAGGTTTTGCACATATTTTTTTTCACAATAATAAATAGTAATACTAATAAGAACTGTTGGCCTCGCAGACCGATTCGTAGCCCTTAGCATTCCTAAGAGGAGCCTTATTACCAGTCATATACCAGTCATAGGGCAGTACTGCCACAGACCTGAAACACCATTAGACTATTTCTCAGTGGACACTGTAAAAGGGACTGTAGTGAATTATGTTTCACCTATATGAAGCACGACCCTGGCAGTGCCAGAGAACGAAAATTAATTTCCATAATATTAATAACAATAGTTTAGTAAAGTAAAGGCCCTGCGATCTAAAGGGCCATAGAAAAAGATGAGCTTGTCATCATCTTTATCTTGGACCGCAAGATCTGGAAGGCTACTCACTACTTTTTATACACACACACACATATATTTCCTTACAGTACGATTTTATACTTAAATACTTATGTTCTATACACAGACACACAAACCTTCAGTACAGTAAAACATTCTAATAAAAACGCTGCCTTATTAAACATAATTAAAAATAGTAGGGAATTAAAAACTATCAACAGTGTTAACGAAAAAATACATTGAAACGCCTCTCAAAATGAATCGACTATTCCTCAGGATGCTCAAACTCAAAGTCAAGGTCGTCCACTAAAGGCACGCCCACCCTGGGGGCACATATCCCCGTGATGAAGACATCGTCGAGCCAGAGAGTCTTCAGGCGAAGAGCCGCCTGGTACAGCAGCGATACCGTACTCATGGGGTAGGCCAGTAGGCCGCCATAGGCGTAAGGCGGATAGACCTCCTGGTCGAACTCCTTGGGGGAGACATAGTACTTGCTGCTCTTATTCCTCACCACGTTGAATATCACGTCGGTCTTGCCGAGGATGAAATTCTCGTGAAGCTCCCTCTTGCGTCGGATCGCCTGGATGACCTTGTGGATGTCAACCAGGACATCGTCGTCCGTCCGTAACACGTATCTGGCTTTGGGGCAGTGGGTCAACGACCAGTGCAGCATGGATACTGCTTTGAGCAAGATGTTACGGTACACGTCGACAAAGTTGACCTGCACGATGTCACCATGGACGTAGGATTCTATGGTCAGTCTCTGCTGAAGCAATGTGTTGTTTTCTGGTTTCCCCACAAAGAAAACCAGCTTAACGTTACTATCAGGGCGAGAGGCGTAAACCCCTCTCTCACTTTTCCTGACCAACTCCCTCCGTTCAAAGTTTTCTGGAGCGGAAGGAATAACCAGAAGCACTTCCGGGATTCTTTCCCAGCATGCATTCTGGATGACGTTGGTGTATGTAAATGAGAACCTGTTTCTGATTGGCTGAGACAGGAAGGAGATGACGTAATTCTTCGTGGCTATCTGCGACTCCAAGTGGGCAATTAACAGCTGGGTAGTTCTGGGCACGGGGTAAGCCAGCATAGAAAAACAGCTCAGTGCTTTGCTAGGGATATCTTTCGTATCCTGATCCAAGCTGCAAGTAAGTAAGGCTTCTTTGCCAGGCCTCATGGAGAACAGGCCCACGTCGTCTGCTAATTTGAGAACCACCTCTTTTGACTGCAAACGAATCTCGTCATCCTCGTCCATGACAGACACCACCATCGTCCTGCCTTGACTTTTGAACCACAAGACGACGTTGACTAGTAGAGACACGCACATCACAGTGGTTAGGAGTCGCCTAACTTTGGAGGGCGCCATCCGCCCTTCGGTCACCGTAAGGGAAGAACTGTTAAGTGAAAATATTAACAACAAGTTGAAAGCAAGCAAAATATAAAAAAATCCACTAAAAAAACCCAAAGCTTAACTAAAGGGGAAGAACTCTGTCCTTAAAATTATATCTATTCATAATGTACAAGCTATTTCCCTTATTTGATATCAAGCGAAATAATTAATTACCAACCCATTTAAAAAAAAAACAAAGCTTAACTAAAGGGGAAGAACTCTGTCCTTAAAATTATATCTATCCATAATGTACAAGCTATTTCCCTTATTTGATATCAAGCGAAATAATTAATTACCAATCCATTAAAAAAAAAAACCAAAGCTTAACTAAAGGGGAAAAACTCTGTCCTTAAAATTATATCTATCCATAATGTACAAGCTATTTCCCTTATTTGATATCAAGCAAAATAATTAGTAACCAATAATTAATTGAGGTTAGGAGGCGTGGTGGTTGATCGGTAGAGCCTTACATTGTTGTAACTGGCTGTATGCAAAGATCTAGTCATCACCCTAACATTGTTGTAACTAGCTGTATGCAGAAATCTAGTTATCATCTTACATAGTTGTAACTAGCTGTACACAGAAATCTAGTCATCACTCTTACATAGCTGTAACTAGCTGTGTGCAGAAATCTAATCATCACCCTTACATAGTTGTAACTAGCTGTATGCAGAAATCTAGTCATCATCTTACATTGCAACTAGCTGTATGCAGAAATCTAGTCATCACTCTTACATAGTTGTAACTAGCTGTGTGCAGAAATCTAATCATCACCCTTACATAGTTGTAACTAGCTGTATGCAGAAATCTAGTTATCATCTTACATAGTTGTAACTAGCTGTACACAGAAATCTAGTCATCACTCTTACATAGCTGTAACTAGCTGTATGCAGAAATCTAGTCATCATCTTACATTGCAACTAGCTGTTTGCAGAAATCTAGTCATCACTCTTACATAGTTGTAACTAGCTGTGTGCAGAAATCTAGTCATCATCTTACATTGTTGTAACTAGCTGTATGCTGAAATCTAGCCATCATCTTACATTTTTGTAACTAGCTGTATGCTGAAATCTAGTCATCATCTTACATTGTTCTAACAAGCTGTATGCAGAAATCTAGCAATGCCCTAACATAATTGTAACTATCTGTATGCAGAAATCTAGTCATTAGCCTAACCTTGTTCATGTTTTCTGGTTTTCCTCTGGCGACATGCTCAATAGCATAGTTTAAAATGCAATACACAAGCCTTTTTCTATGTTGAGGCTTGCTTTTTTTTTTTTGACTCCACCATTTTGGCGTTATTAGCAGAGTAATGTCAGCCCCCCCTCATTTCACCTTCCGAATGGAACAACTTCCCCAGTAGCGTTAATCCTCCCTAAATCATTTCACCCACCCCACCCCCCGCCTTTTCCACCCTTCGTGTAGTTCACACGGCGTGTAGTTTTAATGATAATTGAGACGCACCCTTCTCTTTTAACTGTTCAACCCATCGACCCACTTTATCCTATTCGATCTACCATGGCTTCATTATAAGTTGCTGATAAACTA